AAAAAATAGACTAGTATAAAAATGTATGACATGTGAATTAACTCCATGAGTATGTTCAATCTAAATGCCTGCAGAACTTTTTATTTTTATGTTCGTCCACATAGTTATAATGGATTGAAATATCCTATAACCAGGATACCAGTAAGGTACACTGTTATCTTCTCAAGTAAGCTCATTTTTACGTTTCAAGAGTACTCGAGCACGTACTTACAGTATATACTGTACGTCACTCTCTCCAATTTACATGTACATGTATACAGATTTCCCCTACGTATTTCGTTATGAAGTTGATTTCTAAACTACATGTATACATAGAAACTATATATAGATCTACAATAACACGTACATAATGTATACCATGTTATGTACATCATTCAGGGGCGAAACGGGGGGAGGGGGCGTGGAAGGCGCACGCCGCCCCGTTTCCTTCCGAAAAAGGGGGGGGGAGCTAAGAAATATTCACATACATGTAAATGTTTAGTTTATGCATTCAGAAATGCCTCAGAATGTACCTTACAGAGCATCACAATTTCCGGGGCTCGGAAGTGGGCCCAGACCCCACGCCGTAAAGGCTTCACGCTTCGCGCTCGCCCCCCCCCCCCCCTTGAAAAATCCTGGATCCGCCCTTGCCCTTATCCTTTTACGGAATAAAACTAAGTTTTGGAATCGACTTCCGCTTACATCTATTACGAAAATAGAGCCCAACAATGCTTGTACATGTACAAATTACAAGTGTACAACAAAGTAACAAGATTCACAAAATCTGATCAATCTTTCGATGAATATCTAGCGTAATCTTTACTTGCATATACGTAACTTCGAAAAAATGTAAAGCGTTACAAGATTGAGTTTGGACAAGTGAACTTCAGTACACTGTCAGCCTGAGCCAGTATTCCCAAACAATCATACTACGTAGCAATATGATCTTTTCCATGCAAAATTATAGTGCATAATAAAATCATAAAGATAAAGTTGATTGTTAGGTGTCGACAAAGCAAAGTAATAAAGAGATTATCGAGAACTCCATGTATACTATTCAATCGTGTTTTACTTTTTAACCAGATTACGCCCCTTACATGTACATTTTTTTTTAAGGCCAAGTCGAGCATCGTAAATTATTGGGATAAGAGTTTATTGCAATGACAATAATTATTAACTTTTTCCTCAACAAATCTGATGAAAAAGGTCTAAAACTTCAAACAGGCCTTTATATTAACAGAATAGGCTATTACAGTATGTAGAGTGACGGTACATTGTACATGACTGTACAGTACATGTAGTACATGTAGTATGTAATAGGTCCATGATAATAGATATAACACTACTATGAGCTTTAAATACACATGAATTCATTGAACCATAACTTTATCATAATGAAGTATGCATGTATTATGACTGCATGATCATTTGGTATAGATTAATTGACTATTTATATGATTCAACAATTACAGGTACATCTTCACACAAGCTGAATAAACATTATTATTTTCATATGTATAATTGTATTTCTGAAATTAGATGATTGCTAAAATAATCGTTCTTATTCATCGGCCATTCTACCCTTACAATGACTTTTCTTGTATAATTTAGAAATGCCTCTAAGAACACTCAGCCTACAATAGCCCACTGTAATTGAACATCATCGTGATAAATATGATTACTTATTTATGAGCATGACTGTGTGGACTTTTTTGGGTACAGCTCGTTTGCAACTTGACTATTCAAATTACATCGAAACATGATTAATGATTCATGCCATATTACATCAATCATCTGGTATTCCAATTGTGTATGATGTACATGTACATGTACATACATGTACATGTATACGCAGCACGAAATATTTTACAATCTATTTCCAAGTACATGTATACAACCTTGCGTTATATTACAAAATTATAGAATCAGCAAAAAGCTCATCGGTGTATTTCCATTGTCGTAATAGGAGCCTTATTTAAAAAGCAATGAATAAAACGGGAGATAATAAGCCTATCAATCACTCATGCATCATGAGCATGTCGTAAATAACTTTGGTGTTTAGAGATTCGAATTGATAAAGTATTTGATTGATTCAGCTATTGTCCGGTATAGGGTGATGGATGTATTGTAATTGGTATGGAAGTTTAACGTCTGCATGAACCACACATTGTGATGTACACGTACCAACGAATTTTCAATCAAAAGATGCAATTTTGTTTTATGTGCGTTTAGAACAGGCGTCTTTGAGATGAATTGTTATTTTCAAAACTGTGATGATGAATTTGATATCACTCATCATCGTCAATGTCATAATCATCAATATCGTCATGATCATGATCACCATCTTAAATTCATCATCATATCATTTACCATTATCAGCGTCATCATCATCATCATCATCACCATCATCATCTTCAATTCATCATCATCATCAGTCATTATCATCGCTTATAAGTGCGATACACAAAATCTATATTTATAATTTAGAGTCGGTCCTTGAGCTTTTATATTTCTGGATAGTAATTATGCTTTGTACTGTACAAACACAAGACACGAATATAATAATATGTAGGCTATCATTTCGAATTGGCAATGCGTTCTACAGACCCTCGTCACAATTACTAGTACATGTAATTACAGTTACAGGTATCGTGGTATGCATATTGGAATTACTGACTCATATTGTATAGCCTCTCTGTCATAGAGGCCAGATCTATGCAATTCGACCTCCATACATGTCTGTCATGAAAATGTACACGTACAATAATATACCTGGTTATGTCACTGTGAAACTATTTATATGCACAGTGCCACAGGCATGTACATGTACAGTATTGATCATGTACTGTAAGTGTACATTGTAAGTATTGCTTTCGGATGGAATCTATATAAATATACATGTAAACACAATAACCATAAATTATACCATGCCCAGTGATTGAGTGGAACAGATGTAGATTGGGGTGAGTGACTGATAAACTGGGGTGAATGTGGCCCCATTTTTATATTTTCCCGCGTGGAACATTGAAATAATATTTACATAATGTACCACAACCCTGCATGGTTGTATGTTTAATTGTTCCATACTATTGTGGCAGTACATGTACATTGTAGATCATGCATTATTCAGCCTTTCATCGCACAACAAGATTGTGTATATTATCAAATAATTGCTCATTAACATATCCTAGTGAAATCAATGCGAGTTGGGGTTGCGATTGTAATTTTGTAATCTTTAAATACATGTCAAAGTTAAACAAATCTGATAGTAATTATCAGCAGCTTATTCATTCGAGTTCAATGCATTAGCGTTAGTCTGATTGCATATAACGACCTTCCCGTTCGAGTTTCCACCAATTTGCCATCTTATAAATCAACAATTATATTTCCCTTTCACTTCAGTGATCATACTAATTGCAAAATCGGCAATATCTGTATTGTGGTACGGCGATTTCTGACTCTGAGCGACCGGGGGGGGGGGGGGGGGTATGGAAGCTAGCGGCCAATTTGGTGAGCGGTACATCCTCAAGGTTTTCATATTATCGCATTTATAAAATCTTGCATTCTATTGACATTCCTCTTTGAATTACATTTATCATTGTAAAAGAGAACACAGTGACTGAGCAAGTAAAATAATAAACTCTTCAATATTTTCTTTCTCTCAACGAGGGAAAGATTTTCATTGGCTGAAGATGGGAGAGCTTGTGTCTCTTACATCTCGGATTTTGTTTGGGTTTAAATCTTGACCCCGAATCTCCAGTTTCCTTGGATGTTGGTAGAAAAAGTACCAGTACATTGAACAATAAAGTCCCGACGCCTACTTTCTTATATCGATGCAACTGCATACAGAATATCAAATTCCCAACATAAGCATACGTGCTACAACTTCAAGCTTGTAAGACGAGAACAATGAGAAGGGACTTGTCAAGTCGATACCAAAAGATAGAATATTAGAAATGTTTGTTACAAAAACAACCCCCCCCCCCCTCCTTTACAAATAATATAACTGTGCGCAGTCATAAAACTACTAGTCACACTATTTATATCAAAGTTATAGAAATGATGGAATGTCCAACCATGGACCTCACAAAAAGGTCTAACAATGGGAGGTGTTATTAAAGGAAAAGGTAGAGACTAGAGTCTATATAAGGCATCCAACAAAAAAAAATCTTTTTTTTTTGGTCCACCTGGATTTGTTTAACTTTTTGTTATTTGATAATTTTGCTCTGAAATAAATGATATCTGTGGATATATTATATAGATTTGGGGATTGACAAGAAATACGATTTTACCACATTTCAGCCTTTTAAGTGTGTAACGTAGTGAATGTACAAATGAAATTTGAATTAACAAAATTTGTGTTGAAATGGACACACTAGCATTTCTACATGTACACACAATAGCGATACTAACAATCAATTTGACTTGGCCTAATTATGACCGAGATTGATGCATACATGGCACTAACAGATACAAGACAAATCAAATGATGATGCTGCAATCAGTGTAAACTTGTCGCTGCATTTACAATGAACAATCCACCATTTCAAAATGTTCAATATACTTCACACAGTCTAGACTATATTATAACAGTTAAATATACATAAATCTATCATGTGTCAATCATGTATGTAAGCCTAGATGTTAACAAGTCGCCAATCCAATTAACGTTACTACTCTGTACGTAGGCTCTACAAATACATCATCATGATCCATGCACCGGTTCTGAGAAAATCAGATGATGTAAAGTTAGCTTGGAGAAATGCCCGACTCCTGCAGAAAAAACAGGTACTGTAGGTTGAATTTAATAAATAATTCCAATTGACGTTAATAGTGACTAGACTAGATTAAATATCGAGTAGCTAGCTACTAATTTCAGTGAACTTGTAGGCCCCTACGCCCAAATTCACTCCTCATCAGACATCGGTACATTGCATGCATCCAGTGCACATAGTCTCACAAGAACATCATTATATTCAGTGCAGGCGCTATGTAGCGAAAGAGGAAAATCACAAACTTACGTGAATATCTGCATTTTGAAACGCATTTTTCGCCTTCTTCCTGTTGGATAGCAGTTCTAGCCATGAAATTAATCTCTGTTATTATCCACTAGATCCCGATGTCATCTAAATCTCATATTTACTCAATAGAGAAATGCCAGAAAAACGGGAGGTCAGTTTCCTTGTTTTGTTATTTCAAGCTTCCATTGACAGATCGTACGACATGCATGTGCTGTACTTGTGTGTGTCATTCGCGGAGGTTCCTCGCTCGGCTTCTACTTTATTTATGGCACACACACACACACATGTACACACACGTTTTTTGCACGTTCGATTTGTGTGTACTGTGTGAGCGTAGTAAATTAAACCGCAAGCGCAAGTCATAAAAAAGCCGGCTGGCCACGCCCCCACTAACAGTTGCTACTCCCAGCCATAAAAAAAAAAGTAATAAGCCAGTTTCGTAATGTAACCAAATTTAATGCATACGTCTTTGTGAAGTGCCTCAATACAAATTATTTCATTCACCTGATAAGAATAATAGTATTTCAATAGTCAGAATGCAACTGCATATATTAAGTTGTTGCCAGGTTGGACAAACATTATGGCTTGACCTACCTAGCAACACTTAATATATGCAGTTGCATTCTGACTATTGAAATACTATTATTCTTATCAGGTGAATGAAATAATTTGTATTGAGGCACTTCACAAAGACGTATGCATTAAATTTGGTTACATTACGAAACTGGCTTATTGCATTGTATTGATGGAAAACTAGAAAGTAGAAGAAAGAAACGGTTGTCCAGTCTAATGTGATCCTATCGACCCACGACCAAAGATTTTTTTTTCTTCTGTAAGCAGCCGACACAGAAAACGAGGAAACAAAGACGAAGAAACACGCCATACAACTCCCACGAGATGAATTATTGATCGCATGCACATAGTAATCGACACACAAAGAAATATTTAGCTACCACAACTGGAAAACAGCACAACAAAGACAAGCTGTTGGATGCGGAAATCAAGAGGGAGAGATAACAAAGTAACTAACGTGTATATAATATTCAAAAAATACGTTGAGGCTTTAGTACATGTATATGCTATATGGGAAATTCTCGGTATACAATGAGGTCATCTAATCAAGGTTAAATAAGCATTTTATTCATCAACATCAACAAAAATGCTTCAGTTCGTGGCGCCTGTCATTATGAGAGTAATAGAATATGAATACAAATTGAAGATAAATGTCGGCCTATTATAATTCCATACATTCCAGACCCATGAATTGCAATTCATTCCTGTTTTAAGATCTATAGGCCTATTATTAGGCTGTAACTGTTTGAATAGTTGAATAGTTTGCTAGATGTCATAAAACAGTGCAAAACATTGAAACGCTTCAAATGTATAAAGGGAAAGTCCACCCCAAAATAAGTTTGTTTCGATAGAGGCAGAATAATAAGAAAATCAGGTGAGTGAAAGTTTGAAGTCTGAATGAAAATAAGAAAGTTATGAATTATTGAAGTTGTGATCAATCAAATACAAATTGGCAACTCTGTGACTTATCATACGAGCTCTCCTTCATTTGCTTTACGGTGCTTAATATTCCATAAAATCATGTTTTCTTCGTTATTGATGACGGAATATATATTTGTTCCTTGCAGGGGGAGTATAGAAACATATTTGCAATTATTATATTTAGGGTGCATGTATGGTTGAATTTTTTCTTGAGGGAAAATGAAAATTTTAGATTTTTTTAGTACTGAGCAAATGGAAGTTGAGCTCGCATGATACGTCATAGAGTTGCCAATTTGTGTTTGATTGATCACAACTTCAAAAATCCTAACTTCCTTATTTTTAATCGGAATTTGCTCAAACTTTCACTGACTTGTTTCTCTCATTTTTCTACTGCTATTAAAACTAACTTAATTTCAGGGTGGACTTCCCCTTTAAGCGAAACAAAATGAAATTGTCATTTATTATGTAAAATGAGTCAAGCTGTAACTTCCTTCTTCTTATCTTCTCTCTCTTCTTTTCTCCCTGTAACTGTCTTTACTTATGCTATATTTATCTTCCCTCTGTCCTCTGTTGTTGTGAATGTATGTACTGTGTTTTTTTTCTATATATAAAATAAGTTTGTATCCGTGTTTATGCAAAGTCTATATTTGGGGATCATTCTCATCTAGCCAATTTTGGCTTTCATGATTCCCCACTTCCTTTTATCTGATGTTGATAATGAACGAACATGTATATACTGAGTTTTTTAAAAGGGAGTGAAATAAATAAATGAAAATGAAATAAATGAATGGAATGCTTATGTCTCGAGTATATAGCCTACGTCTGACTCTGATTAATAAAACCATTATTGAAAATGCTCAGCTTCCGCGTAGAAGACACCGCAGAGTGGCGGGGTATTTTGTCAGTATAAGGGTAAGGCTAATCAAGAGAAATTTAACGCATAAAATTTGAACTGGTAACTGAGCACTTCTATAGAAGTCTAAATTGAGCATATAGCTGTTAAATATACCAACTTGACGCTCAAGGGCGGCCAACATGACAATATAATGGCGTAATGCACGTTACTCGCGAGGCGCCAACTCATGCGTTATTACTTGCGCTAATGAATCCTGTCAGATAAGGGCGATCAGCCCGTACCGCTGTCCCCAATGCAATATTAGGGACTTTTAGACGTGTGACGTCCAGTCTATTGTCTTCGTGCGAATCTAAAAGTCCCTATCATTGAAAATTGCTTTCGATGATTAACTAACTCTGTTCACTGTGATGTGTATTCCATTATGTATAGTTATTTGTAGGTTTATTTGCACTTTTTTGTTTTATGTCATTGTTTATCAGTCTGTTTTGTTTGTTATAGCGCGTAGAGACTTCGGTGGTAAGCGCTTTATAAGTAACGTTTTTATTTATCATTGATTTATTGATTATGTTAGCGATGTTCATTTCTATCAAACTTGTTGTACGATGTCCGCATAGCATGCAGCGTCACAGACTGCACCAGTCGGTGACGTAGTATTGCGTCAGGAAATTGCACCTCGTGTGCAACGCCGTAGTCGATTACAACACGACGCAAGTTAGTAGCGATGGTCTCGTTATAAATGAGGGATTCCGTTCTGTGCTGATTTCGGTTCGATCTCATGCATTGCCATGTAATATTAATGAGTTAGGACACACACATTTTCTCTCCATTTGCTAATAGCAGATGGCTGTTTTCGTGACGGACAATGTTCTTGTGCTCTCCTTGTCTATGAGCCCCCTTCTCCTATCTCCCCTATCTTCCTCTCTCTCTCTCTCTCTCTCTCTCACACACTCTCTCTTTCTCTCTCTCTGTATATATTTTTCCTCTTCCTCTCATCAGGGAGGTGAAAGAAAAGGAGGCGAAACTCTTGTAATTTATTCAAACGCATTCTTGAGTTCTAAAGCGTAACAATGGGATGTGTAACATTCCACTTGGCTTTGAAGTTCCATGCTCCGAACCGCGCTTCCACTGCGGGGACTTTCGGAAGCAAGGCTCCAGTTTTACATTTATTACAAAATATTAAATTACCGGCAAAATTTCAGTGTAAATCAAAAATTTTATATGGGGATTTTATTGGGAATAGTGCATCAAACAAATTTTCAAATTTAAAACTCCGTCCTTCCTTTAATTTGTGTGCCAGAGTTGGTAAAAGAAAAATTACATCCTGTCCAAAACTCAATATTTTAGGATGATGCGCTAATTTGTGCGTGCTTTAATGTCCCGTTATATGATCCATGGTTTACAATCTTCAATAACATTAAGTTTGCTAATGCGTGTTTTCGCGTGTTTTTTGTATTTTTCAAGTTTAAAAAAGGATGAAAGTACACAAGTTTGTGTTCGCTTGTTCTACTCTTTACACATTCAACAATGGATGAGAAATCATTGGAAGGGACAGCGAACAGTTGCAGTGATACCATTTTCTGATGTAGGAATTTTAACTCCTGAAATTTCATGCGCTCTTTTATCTCACCACCTGGTCAACAGTTGCAGATTAGCGCATAACTTTTCGGCGGCTTGGAGCATGGGGTCAAAGGAGAGCGGCTTGATTCCAGTCCTTCTCTATCACGTCCCTGCTCTCATTTACTGCATTGCCCCCACTCCTGTCATGTCTGGTAAATGTGCATCTTTTGACCTGTTTTATTCATATTGATTAGGACTAATCGTTAGAATGGTGAAGTCATAAATGCCAAGGCTGCTCTGTATCAAATCCTGCCCCACCCACATCTCTCTCTAGCTCTCTCTCTCCCGCTCTCTATCACTTCCTACTCTTATCCTCTCTCCCTCTATATCTCCCCCCCCCCCCCCCCCAACCAGCTTCCCATTCCTCTCCCTCTATCACTTTCCCCCATTTCCCCACTCTGTCTATCTCTCCCCTCTCTCCCCATCTTTCCTCCCCCCCCCCCTCTCTCTCCCCCCCCCCCCTCTCTCTCTCTCTCTCCTCGATCTATACGTCTCCCTGCCCCCCCCCCATTTCTCTAACCATGGAATATTCAGTGGCCCATTCAGTAGACCATGGAGTTCAGTGGCCCCTACATTTACATGGTTGTCATGATTGCAGACATGAATTATTTGCGATTGAGAGGGCGCCCTTCAGCTATGTCTCGACTCAGAATAAAGTAAATTACGCTCGACACGACAAGAGTTATTCTGGGAGAGTAAATGCTATTATTATAACACTTACAAAGTTTTCGGGGAAATAACATTCCAGAATTGGGACGATTTTTTGATAATTACAACAAGGCATGATGTCTAAAACAGGGATAATCAACTTTTCTAATTACAAAACAATTTTGAAAAGGATGGGAAACTAGGTCTTTTTTTAAATACTGACACAACGTGTAAAATTTTGCAAGGAAATAAATGTAATACATGGGAATGATGATATACAAATTAGTGCACATTAATAATCATTTTAATGTTGAGAGTTCAAACTATATACATCTGCATATGGAATTTTTAATGTTCGTCTTCACTTTTTATAGAAGGTATAATATTTGGATGTATTTGTATTGACCTAATCCAACATTTCTTAATCCAACCAAACTTCGCATCCGAGCTTGGACAGTCTGGACAGGATCGCCCACCTGTCTATGGAGATTACGGTTACAGTAATACTGACGTCATCATGACAAACATGCATAGGTGTGATAGAAACGGGATCATAATCATTATAGGCCACTGAGGTATTGGGACAAAAAAAAGGATCATATTAAAAAGAGAATCTTAGCCGGGATTCAACTTAACACAAATATGTACATACCAACAAGTTTTTATAGAGACTATTTGCAGGAGAAAATCGTGTAAACACCACCTTGTGTCGAAAGGGGCGTACACCGTGACAAAAATTTGATATCGACATTATCGTTTTAGAAGCTCAATTTCGTTTTTTGTAGGCTTCGTCATTGTTTTGTGTTATAACTTGGGGAGGGGGGTTAATACAATAAGATTTATTCATTCAAAGTAATTGAGTTGTGTATATTGTGTACTCTATTATGTGATGCATTGCAATTTGAAATAAGTTGTATGATGTACATGTATTGAATGAATTCAATAAAGAATACTACAAAACAACAACAACAACAAACGTAGTTACATGTAATACGTTAAACTTCGGGCTACAACACTCGGGCAAATACATGCATAACGTTAGTCTTTCTTTCCCCTATCTCCCCCTCTCCCCCTCTCTACCATTCATCCTTCACACACCATCTCTTAAGTACTTAAAATATATTGGAAGGCATAGAACTAAGCACCCCCCCCTCCCCCCCCCCCCCAAAAAAAAAAAGAAAGAAGAGAACAACAGCAACAACTACCTACGATATGTCATTGTCACTGCTCTGCTTTTGATTTATCCCCATTTTGGATTAGTTTAATATCATATGATAGCTAAAGCTGCTGAAGCATATTGAAATTAGTTCACAAAAATTAAATGGTAGCCATCAGTCCTCTGTCATCTATTTCTAGCGAACATTCAAATTTATCGGGCATTCAAAATCTATGACTTGTCATTGTCAAATAAACAACTCACACAGTTCCATATACAAACCGCACATTTAATAAGTACATATTTCAGTTTAAACTGAATCTATTCATGTGAAGAAAACTGGTTGCATCCATCAATGAATTACTTCACCTATATAGCATTAAAAAGTAGTTACACTTTTCTCTTACATTTGATTTCATTTAGAAATGTATACTCTTAGTTAGAACTCCTATTATTATGCAGGCCTAAAGTACTTTATATTCAACGGTGTATATACGACAATGGTTGTGTTTTCAACCGAAGTCAAACAAAACATTTCGGCTATTTTCACTTTGCGATTTCATGTAATTAAACCAAAAATAAGAACGAATCAACGAATTATTTTTTAGACTCACCTGGGAGAAGTTTTGCTGCTTATCTCTTGAAATGACTACAGTGCAACCAAACGCTTTCCAATAAACGCGAAGGAAAAAATGTCTTACATTCGTTATTACTGTGATACAGAAAATGGACACTCTTTTCAATGAAGTCGGGCAAATTTGCTCGAGCCAAATTCAGAATTGCTGAAGCAAACTTTTCTTGCATTGCTCGCTTCATGGACGTTTTGTTGTTTAATACCTGTTTCCCCAAATAGAAAAAAATTAGGGCAGAAAAGTGCAAAAGGAGGTATTACGTATATCACGTTGGCATGGAGCCACAATACGTTGGTGGTAATACCAGCTAAAAGGAGTAGATTAGCATAAAAGAACAGGAGCAGGATTAGTGTGGTGTCCTTGCTGTGGTAAAGATTTTGGAATATATTATGACAGGAAGGAAACGCTCTAATTATGACAAAATTTCCTCCCTTTTCACTGCAAAACACCTCTCTCTCTCTCTCTGTCTCTGTCTCTGTCTCTCTCTCTCTCTATATATATATATCTCTCTCTCTCTCTCTCTCTCTCCCCCTTCCTCCCTCCCTCTCTCTTTCTCTCTTTTTCTTTGTCCCTCTATGGCTGTCTCTTTTACTCTCTCACTCTTACTCTCTCTCATAAAATACAAGACGAATAATATGATACATGTTTACAAAATGTTAGTATTTGATATATATGGAAATGAAATAAGCGACGTTTATATGACAGATATGATAAAGGTAGAGAGAAAGAGAGGGCAATGGGTGGGGAGAGAGAGAGAGAGAGAGAGGGGGGGGGGAGAGAGAAATGGGAAGGGAGCATAAACCGGAGATAATCTTTTGCAAGAAACATTTATATTTACATGGCCAACATGTCTGGGTTTTTATATTTCACAATATAACATGGATGAAACAATTCATTCAAAATATTACGATTTTACAATTCATTAATAGATATAAAATGTATATGTATATTGATTACATACTCCGGAAAAGCGTAGCTGTTGCACACGAATTTATTGCTTTTATACAAATATGATAATACGGCCCATGCTGATATAAAGTAATATATAGTTATACAGCATATTCATTTCAAAATAAATAAATTATTTATTTCAGAGTCATTACAATTACGCCGACAGCTGATCTGACATATTCTACGGCTTTACGTGTTGATCAGCAGCAATGGCGTAGCATGCCTCCACCGGGCCTCCGCCCCTTGATTAGGCACTGGCTTTATGGTAGTGGGGGTGGCACCCCGAATATATTGGGTGAATGAAATACAGTATAACAAGGCCACCTAGTGAGGGAATGGCGGGGAGAGTATCGTATATTTTTTATTTAAATTTATTTAATTATTTATCACTTCTGGGATATGGAACACCCTTATCAGCTTTAGGCTGCTTTTCGTATAGGGGTCAGCTGTCGTATCACCTTTCTTGAAAACATCGTCACGTCTTTCTCATTCTCTCTCTTTCTTCCTTACGTTTCTTCTCTCTGTTTATCCCTCTCTCTCTCTTTCTCTCGCTCTCTCTCTCTCTCTCCCCTCTCTCTCTCTCAGGCTTTCTCTCTCCTTCTCTCTCTCTCTCTCTATCCCCCTCTCTCTCTTGACATTCGATTGGGGCACGTGCCCCCATGTACCTTGTACATGTAGCTAAGCCACCCATCCGCAATATGTGGACTGAAGGAAGTTAAGGAGTTCCGAACATTCAACACCGTGCTCTAAAATGTACACGGATTTCTGCCATGGACGTCTTCCTGTACGTTATTTAAACGCATATCGAGCTTTAAAGACAAGAGGACCCCTTCCATGATGCAAGAAAAAAAAGGTGTTGAATCCTGGAAGAAAAATAAGAGGTTCTAGGCGTCAATTGCACAGTCGAATAAGAGAACAGCCCGTTCAAAGCAATACTTATAGTTTTCACATTTATATTACCGTTACACATGAAATGTAATTTTGATTGCGTTATCATAATTATTATACGCTACACGAGCCTATGAAGGCAGCTCTTACCAACAGCAGTAATTCAACGCAATGCTGACACTATTTATTTTGCATGTCATTCTCACATTTCGCGTAAAAAATGGCGCCAGACGCTGACGCATTCCTACTCCAGCAAATAACGCAAGTGTCACAAATGAACCGGGTATTAATTAATCGTCAATAGCCGGGAGAAGGAGTCTTTGAATACGAAGTCGTTTGGCTAGTGAGAAATGTTTGCGTTGGCGAGTTTTCCTCTCCTTCCCTCATGCCTTCTTCTTCTTCGCCTTCTTCTTCTTCTTGGACATCTTCGCCTTGAGGTACATACGCCATCAACGCGAGAATCATGAAAATGAGAGTCAAGCACCGGCAGATGACCGTCACGATGAAGATGATTTTGCTGAATTCTGCGTTGTCGTAGAGCCAACAGCTTCGGGACCCGTCGCAGTTGCTCTCCCATACTAAACAGACTCTGTCGATGAGGGCTCCCAAAATAATTGGCCCTGGGACGGTGCCTGCACAAAAACATCGATAGTTTCGTTAAAAACTATATAGGTCCAATTATGTAATATACGAACCCGCAAATTAGTGTGAGCCAAATCATGATCACTTTGATACTATCACTAGTGCTGTGTCAAGAAACGAGGGGAAGGGGAGGTTTAGAATTAATTTTCTTCTTATAGGCGTTCAAATGGAGGAGTGGTGGGGTGCGATACTAGCCTTATCAAAAATCAAAATTGATAAACGAATACCTACCTACCAAACATTACATTGATAAGTTCCTATTAGATAAAAAAAAAAAAAAAGAAGCTTTAGAGCAAGCGACAATAATAAATCTAAAGACTAGTACTCAATTCATAACCATAAGGCCGTTATCAGTAATTACAGAAAGAGAGATACATTTTAACGCTCTCTCTGTACGATCTTACCTAATAGTCGATATATAAAAGATTGTATTCCGAGACCATACGCTCGCTGTGAATGAGAAACAGATCTGCCAGAGAATACAAGAGAATTATAAAGAAATATACAATGGATTTACTGCCAGATTACAAGAAGATTGTACAATAAAACGAATTCATATAGCAAATGACTGTTGTCACGTTTTTATTACAATAATATTGAGGTGGGGACCAAAAAAGGGATATTTTCTTTTTTAATTTCTTTATATTTGATAAGTTTTTATAGCATTTTTACATTCAACATAAACATAATAGAAATATACAGATATTTATATTAATGTAACAACAATAAATCAAAGAAGAATCGAATTGATTTATAGTATAAAGAATAGAAAACATCACAGCGATCGTAAAAACTCCCCCTCCTTAGAACAAAAAAGGATTTCCATCAGCGTTCTATCATCTGCTAAACTGCTTAAAAAGGATTTTTTTTCTCAAATTCCGGAAATGGGATATTTTCTACATTGCAGAGCAATGACACTTTTTAAACCGACTTGAACCCCCTAAAACTACCACCCTTCAATTTGTTATACTAGAAATCAGGGCAATTTGTAAACTATAACAAAAACCCATTATCCCACTCCCTACCACCAACACTATACCTTTCAATTCAAGACATTGGAATTTATTGACATTTTTTTCAACTACCCATGATTTGACTCCCCCCCCCCCAAAAAAAAAGGAAATAAATAATAAATAAATAAATAATTCAAAAAAAAATTAAAAATTAATAATAATAAAAAATAAAATAAAAATAATAAAAATAATAATATTTTTTTTTAAATAACAAAAATAACAATAATATTAATAATGATAAATAGATAAAAAAAGTTAATGAAATAATTAAAATGAATAAAATAAATAGAATAAATTAAATAAATAAATAAGTAATCACCTACACCCCTCGCTTACCTCATGGTGGCTAGAATGGACGGTACGAGGGCTAGAAAGGTGAAGCCTAGCATAAAGAAAAGACCGGCCATAAACAGGGGCTCCCTGTGACAATGTTGGCCTTCACACATGCCCAAGACAGCCGACCCAGAGGCCGAGTCGGAGGCCGAGTCGGAGCCGTTGATATCACGGATACAGCTACAGTCATGGTACACCTGTGACAGAGAGATGACAAGTTTTTTTTTTTTAACAGTGGCGTCACAGGTGACCCCCGGGGATGTCAGCTAACATGGATCCGATCAAATGTTAAGATAAAGTTTAAAAGTAAAGACCAGTTTTGGAAACGCCCCCTCTTAAAAAATGAAATGGAAGCTCTTATTACCAATCATGACTGTGAAAGAATGTGTTTTTACTAATACTTTATGATACAATTTTTTCACACACACATGCCCAAGACAGCCGACCCAGAGGCCGAATCGGAGGCCGAGTCGGAGCCGTTGATATCACGGATACAGCTACAGTCATGGTACACCTGTGACAGAGAGATGACAAGTTTTTTTTTTTTAACAGTGGCGTCACAGGTGACCCCCGGGGATGTCAGCTAACATGGATCCGATCAAATGTTAAGATAAAGTTTAAAAGTAAAGACCAGTTTTGGAAACGCCCCCTCTTAAAAAATGAAATGGAAGCTCTTATTACCAATCATGACTGTGAAAGAATGTGTTTTTACTAATACTTTATGATACAATTTTTTCACACACACATGCCCAAGACAGCCGACCCAGAGGCCGAATCGGAGGCCGAGTCGGAGCCGTTGATATCACGGATACAGCTACAGTCATGGTACACCTGTGACAGAGAGATGACAAGTTTTTTTTTTTTAACAGTGGCGTCACAGGTGACCCCCGGGGATGTCAGCTAACATGGATCCGATCAAATGTTAAGATAAAGTTTAAAAGTAAAGACCAGTTTTGGAAACGCCCCCTCTTAAAAAATGAAATGGAAGCTCTTATTACCAATCATGACTGTGAAAGAATGTGTTTTTACTAATACTTTATGATACAATTTTTTCACACACACATGCCCAAGACAGCCGACCCAGAGGCCGAATCGGAGGCCGAGTCGGAGCCGTTGATATCACGGATACAGCTACAGTCTTGGTACACCTGTGACAGAGAGATGACAAGTTTTTTTTTTTTAACAGTGGCGTCACAGGTGACCCCCGGGGATGTCAGCTAACATGGATCCGATCAAATGTTAAGATAAAGTTTAAAAGTAAAGACCAGTTTTGGAAACGCCCCCTCTTAAAAAATGAAATGGAAGCTCTTATTACCAATCATGACTGAAAAAATGTGTTTTTACTAATACTTTATGATACAATTTTTTCCGGGAAACCGCCTACTAATATACAGTATCTCTCCGGACAGTGCTTGTAACTTTACCAAGACTGGGCCAAATTTCTTATCATTTTGATGATTCCAGAACCTTGCAGTACACACAAATACTTATATGCTAGATGATCAACCTTTTCTGATCGATTCCACAACGTTTCTTTCACAATGCAATCGCATGACCAGAACTGGTATATACCTTTAAGGCTGGGTGAAACTCCTAAAACGTCTGTCTGTCTGTCTCCCCTGACTGTTAGACAATGTCATACCAAAAAAAGACAAACAAACACACAAACCACAACTAAAGCAAGACTTACTCTGTCACTCTGCAAGCCACTGGGATCTTCATCAAGTCTGCAGCCCGCGTAACAGGCGGAGAAGTAGACCACATCATTGCTACCACATACCGGGTTGTAAGTGGCAGCACAGTGGCAATTACTGTTGCATTCAGCGGTGAAGTTAGCATTGCTTGTTTCATCTAAAGGTATGGATCTAGGATGAGAAATAATATTATCGTGATCATGGTGTAGATATAAATATCGAGTTTACACACGCTTTTTTGTTTAAACAAGAGAAAGTCGATTTGATTAATATCAAAGTAAAGTTTTTTTCTTCAAAAAAGTGATAAGGCTTTGAACTCGGCTAACTTAAACATTTACATTTTATTAAGTTCTCATTAATATCGAACATAGGAACAAAACAAAATAATTATTGGAAGATTCTTAGAGAAGAAATACATTTTACTGTTAATTAATGTATTATCAAAGTGTCATTTGAACAGACAAATTATTTGGTTTTCTAGTTTTACTATACATGGACAATTCCCGGTTTAATTTTTTTCGGGGACGCACTGCATGTAAGAATAAACATGTTACTTGCAGAGCCAATCTTAGTACTTTTCGAGAGACTTACGAATTGTTATATTGCACTGTAGCGCCCGCCATTGGTGGATCGGGACAACTGATGAGAAACGAAGACATACAGACAAGAGAAATGAGCATGGAAACAATGCAGAATTTGACCATTCCCGCGAAAGACAGCTTGAAACGTTTGACAAGAAACGCTCCAACCAAACAACCGACACAGCTGGACGGAATCACGACAAGCCCTGTGTGGAAAGAAAAAAGACAGCAAGAAAGAAAAAGTTACTTTAACGAAAGTTGACAACTCTTTTGAATTCAAATTAGAAATTCCTAAATAACATAGATTTATATTAATAGCTTAAAAGGGAAGAAATTTCCCTCCTTTGTTTTAAATTGAGATCTGGAATTGGTTGTTTAAAAAAAATGGAATAATTTGTTTCATCATCGTTGTTGTCATGGCAACCGTATCATATTATAACCATGTTGGGTTGTGTGTGAAAAGCGACCGATAAATGGCAACATATGGGCCGTTTTCAGGTTATTGAAACTGTTTTTAAAATCTCTTGTCGGTTTGATGTCGGTCTCGTCGGTGTGAATGGGATATGCAATAGATTACCGAAGCTGTGACATCATAAAAATGTATTTTTGGAAATTCTTCTGTCAATTTTGTTATATTGCTCTGGCTCGTAATGTTATGAACCAGAGCAATATAACACTGAGTTCCTATAGGAAATCTCTTTGTTCAGATGGCCTATATCTCAGCCAATAATTAACATATTCAATTGGTTTTTCGACATTTTGAACATTATTGTTGATGCTCTTTCTTTTTGATGACGTCACACTTCACCACTCTATAAGAATGGGTACCGGTTTGGAAGGCAGCGTCGCTGGAAGACAGGGAGAACTGCGACTCAAAAAACTTCGGCCCAAAAGCTGCGAGACACGAGATGATGAACCACTCGGTCGCCGCCGAGCAATTGAGCAACATGAATGGCTTATTGGTTAGGAGGTTCAGCGTCGCACGAGGGATGTCGCGTACCGAGTTGGCCCACCCCGTGCGGGCGACGAATTCGGACCCCTTCTGAGTTTGATGATGGTCGAGTCTGCCGTTGATATTTTTTGCATCTGGCGTAAGAGGGGGAAAGCAAGATGGACGTTTATTTAGAAAAGCCTGCAATAAATAAAAAAATATCCTTGCTGTGGAATACAAAAGTGCATGTTTATGAATGGCATCATAATGAAAAGAAGGTTATTGTTTATTTACTATTACATCTTATTCAATAACAGGTCAAGATTGCAAATGAACCCTTTTTGGATCAAATCTGGCTATCGGCAGGCTGGCCTACTTCTACAGGGGTCCTAAAAACCATTCATTTAATGATGTAATCAAGTTAATATAATTATGTTGATTACTGTACTATTACCAGTATCTTTTTTATTCAAAAGATTATATCATGTTTTGTGTGGTTTTGAATAAATGAACTTGAACTTGAACCTGGAAAAAAAAATTATATATATTTATATCATTTTATTCATAAAATGAAAAAGAAACATGGCGATCGAAAGAACCACTACATTCTACAAATATTTAACTACATTTCTTTATCATTTTTTCCAACTAATGGCGATCCCTTCCATTCTTCGACAAAATTCTTAATATTTTTTTCCCCAGGGAATAGAGAAATAAACTGAATACAGACCTGGAAGATATTTAGGGAACCCGATCAGTGGAAGAGCTACGATGAGAGCCATTGTACCACTGGTGATGAAACCGATCCACCAAGCTCCTATCCACAGCACACTGTCTGGGGATAGACCCAAACTGCGGAAACAAACAGAAAGGTTATTTTTAGACCAAAAATTCGATATCAGCATAACTCGTATATGTCCACATCAAATAAGTGTTACCAGTATCATGTTTAAGTGAATGAAAATTCACCCAGAAAAAATATTTATATATTTTTGTCTGATTCGATAACTTTTTTTATGGCGCTGGTTAGTATATATAAAACAAGTTATAAGCTTTCATTTCGTCTTGTCCGTAAAGTGACAATCTGAAAAACTTTTTTCGTTCTTGACAAGTGGTTCTTTCTTCACCATCAGTGGAAAATGACCTGTCCAGTAAGCTTTCACGTGCTGTGCTACGACATAGGTCTGAAGAAGTTTGCAGCACGGCAGGCAAAAGGCTTACCCAATATAGTCTTTCAACTGATTGTGTAGAAGAAAAAAGAATTCACGCTACATTACCAATCATATGAACCACTTCAGTTCTTTTTTCTTCTTCTTCTTTCAGCTCCACTGTGTTAGAAAATAGACAGAAAACTTGTCGGAACATTCAGGTCGACACCCGTACCCCTCACGATACCCTTCTTCTCGAAAGCGATAATTATGGTTACCTTTCTGGGTCCACCCCAGGATCGACGTAGATGCTGAGAAAATACCCACCGAGCAGATAGCCAAGAGCTGGACCTAAGATGGACGTTGCTTGGATAATACCTATAATAAAAGAACATTGTAGAGAAAGGGAGAGAGGGAGAGAAAGAGAGAGAGAGAGAGAGAGAGAGAGAGAGAGAGAGAGAGAGAGAGAGAGAGGACGAGGACGGTGATGAAGATAAAGACTTTCTTTTAGGAACTTCGTCAAATAATTTCGTTTATAGGGACAATTTAAAACTTGCTTCCCTCATTAATCAAAGAACGAAAAATGAGTTTGTTTACTGTATTCGCATTCGAATTATGAAAGAAGAAGTCTAAAAGAGTTGAAGACGATTTATTATTTTTAATAGTTTGGACGAACCTTTATGAGGTTGCCATGCGTCTTCTAAAAAGCATGCTTCCCGATTGGAAAGCACACTTCAGTCTGAGAGTGGTTTTAAAATTCATTTATCACCGATAATCTGTTTGTGTTTTGTCTGAATCAAAATCTCTATCTATTATATATAGACGGAATGATGAACTTTACCTCTGGCACAAGCACCACACTTAACCATAATCCTGACCCTTGACCTAACCCCAGCTGCAGAATATATCCTAATCATCTTTCTTTGATTTAAAGGTATCCGGTAACTTTGTCTTAGATGCTTTTAAAATATCCTTGATTTAGCTCATGCTGCAATGATAATTATAAACCTTTAGGTCAGTCAGGAACTCCATGACTATTACAAGCCTATCGCCTGTCTGATTATCAAGATATTTATGATTGGAAATCCAAAAAACGTTTCCTAGCGGTTTTTATAACACTACAGGCTATTGGGAAAAACGAGTATGTTAAAACCGGTCACTCAAAGGTTTTTACTTTTTGGGGGCACTTCTTGATCATTTTGAAGCGGAATTTTTTTTAGGGCTTCAATATAATACCATATCACAGACACTGATAACACATAGGGCCGTGCATCTCAGATTTTGTTAACGATCCCTTTAAAAGAGAAACCCGGAGCAATAATTGCTGCCGCAGGAAAAAAATGTCGGGTCACCCCTCCAATGCTTACCAAGATAAATGGAGGACATATGGGGCGCCACGCTTTCATCTAGATAGGTCACCCCCAGGGTATAGATGGGCGCCGCCCCCAGCCCATGCAGACATTGTGCCGCTACAAATACCCAGTAATAAGAGCTCAATTCCTCATCAGCATTGGCATCTATATCGCAGGGGTTCGTTTCGTTTGACGTGATGTCACATGTATCGGAAAATAGCGTCTGCAAATAAAGAAAACGAAGAAAAGAAAGGCATGTTTTGTGGGGTTTTTTTTAAAGAAAAGTGGTATCTATGTCGATTTAAAATCTAAAATATGCCATTCTTCCTACAATCATTGAACTTGGTCTTTTTAACCCAAGCACAATAAGTTTAGAATTTGGGCTAGTAAATTATGGACTCAATTCTGCAAGTGAAGAAGTGTTACTTATGGAGTTGTTTACATTGAATTCTGGCTCAATATTAAATGCAGTGAATGACTTTGCCTTAAAGACAACGTCCCTGAATTAAACGCACCATCCGGTGGGAAATATTTGACGTAAATAAGAATTAATTTTGCACAATCCGATTATCATTATTTGTTGTTATAATATTACTGACACCTCTGAATTTGGGACTTACTCCAAAATCTGCTGTTATAGTGCATTGTAGGTTTTACATGATGTCACTGTGTGCTGTCAGAATGATTGAAAGTTCATTTCTGAGTAATTGATTGATTTATTATTCTCTTACATGCAATTGTTTGAATTTTTCTTAAACTATTTGTATTAAATTTGAAGTAAGGATAAAAGGCGTCATAACGCTTGGAACATGCCAATACTTTTATTTACCGATGGTATGTAAGGACCCGACGTAAACTGTGGTAGGGCAAAGAGGAAGGAACCAGCGGCGAAAATGAGAGCACCGTTGCCGAGCCACAGGGGCTTGTTGCCGTTCTCCCCAAAGTATGTGACCCCCAAAACCACGATGAGGAGGGCGAGGTCGTAACAGGATGCCAGGAAGCCGGTTTGCACGCTGGGAAGGCTGAATCGCTGCTCCAGTGTGGTGGTAACGGTGAAGACAATCCCACTGGTCACGTAACTTTGGGTGAGAGCGAAAAGGCAGAGCCACACCAGAAATCCTTTGGGGTTGTTCCACCTCTGACAATATATCATTGGAGAGATGGAGAGTGTTTTACAGACAGAACAGAAAGATAGTTGGATAGATATAGGCAGGGAGAGAGAGAGAGAGAGAGAGAGAGAGGACGGAAAGAGAGAGAGAGAGAGAGAGAGAGAGAGAGAGAGAGAGAGAGAGAGAGAGAGAGAATTCAATGTAGTTGTCTTAAAGAAAACTTTATCATTATCATTATTATCGACTTTTAAATTTGAAGTATCCGCGTAACCATCACCTCATATTCCTTTGATGTTCTTTTTTCAATTCATTTTTCCACTGACAATAACTACGTTACACTGCAAACCCTTGCCTTTCATTCTCACCCTCGCAAACACACTTTCTTTCGACGGGTGTATTTGTGGGGGTCGCGCAATCTGTGTGGGATGGAGGCAGACATAGATGATCGAAGAATAACAAATGTATAAAAACGGACAGAATCTGGATTGACTACGTTTTGAGTTTTGACATGATTCTAACCTGCAGGGAAGACGGGCGAAAAGAGAAGCAGCCATACCGCTGCTGTCCTTCACAGCGAACGACGTCGTGTAAACTCTTCTCTTGCGACGAAAACGACAACGACGATGACGGCGATATCGATGTCCTGAACGGCGCCACGGAATCATCGCTGGCCGACTGGTATTCTTGATGTTCGCCCGAAGACAGAAGAGGAGATGTATCCGTAGTCGTCATGGTCGACGTCGTCTACGGGATTGAAGTCTTGGTTGACGTCGAGGGGGAAGGTTATGGGTTTCGTATCTATCCAAATTGCATGATGAATAAGTATTATGTTGGTGAGGAAAGAAATTATCACTCAGACTTTATATTAGCCCTTTGCTAAAACAAGTCATTAAAGCAATTAACGTCTATATCCTACAACTTCTAAAATTAAAATTAAACCATATCGTAGAAAAGCCTCTGCCTCTCTCTCTCTCTCTCTCTTTCCATTTTGTGTCGGTCTGATGGTCGTATCGTCTGTGCGGCCGGGGTGTACAAAAGTATCATGCTTTGTTTTTAATGTTACACTGAAATGTAAAACAACATGATTGTAAGTGTAAAACAATATGATTATTCATTTATTTTTCTGAAAAAATGTAACGCATAGGCCTATTTTGTAAATCATTGTGTTTTCTGACCAATAAAACTTATCAAGATTAAAAGAAAAAAATATCGTAGAAAAGAGTTTTATGATACATCCAAATTTAATTACCCGTTTGACAGTTACGGTGCCTAGATACCAACTGAAATAGAAAACAATACTTTCCATTTTTCTGCATGACATGCAAAGTTTTCCTTCTTTTGCTTTTCCAATGATTCACTGGCAATAATTATATGGCGATACAAAAACAAATTCTTATGACTACCAGCTGACAAATGTCTCCTTGTCAGAAAGTACATATTAATGTTTCGACAGTAATAACATTTTACCATTTCTTATATTCATATTCAATGCTTTAACACCAGAAACAAGATGCCAAACAGTTTCCTGTATACATTTTTGTTAAGCAAAAGTAGTTGAATAAATTAACATCTAACATACAGAAACTATGAAAATATATTCTGCACCTCGTAAGTGCAGTGTATATTCAAGCCTTCCAAATCAGTTTTACTGTCTCTATTTGGTGCTAGTTTACAGCAATATGTGCCTATCCTAGTACTCTCTTGAAAAAAACCAAGTAATCACTAACCCGACTTCTCTGGAGAGTGAAAATGTAGTGAAGATTCACTCTTTTCTTGTTAGAGGGCACTCGAAAGTCAATCGATATTCACTCCTGAACAAGACAGTGATCACTGGCGGGACTTCCGGGGAGGGGAAAAAGGGTGAAAATTCAATCTTTTTATTTTAGAGAGAGAGAGAGAGAGAGAGAGAGAGAGAGAGAGAGAGAAATAGAAAGAGTGCAAGGGCTAGGCTAAGATACTTTGTCAGTTTTGACTTCTAATACCTTACCAAGTACTGTCGAGTTTTTAATATAAGCTGAAATTGAATGTATCATTAAGTTCTTATTTTAAGTGTAATCCAAGTTCCAGTAGGGCCGTTATCTTAATACAATCATATAAGAAACTCTAAACATGGTCGGTAATGTATTAAACCTAACAGTCATACCGAAAAGACCGACACCAGACCCAACGAAGATATTGCATAACGTCTATGTGCAAGAATCGGTCGGTTTGGGGTCGGTCTAAAGTTGGTATGACAGAATGACCTGGACCTACTCAATACTGAAGAGTATCAATTGAGTCGAAATAAAAATAAGAATACTGGTCGCCTTTACCTTTTCTATTCCTTCACACTGTGCGTATAACTCCTGTAAAATCCTGGACCAATTGGATGTTAAGATTAGTATTAGACAACATCTTACATACATTAAGTGCTACCAGCTCGTTGTATTTTTTCCTTTGGTCCGACACTTTGGCCTATTTCCAATCCTGATGCAAACATCACGTGGTAGTGAGCGATATTCCCTTGAATATGACCTTTGTTCTTTATAAATATTGTATTAGCATATAATCCAGACATATAATTGAGAAAATGATGATAAAGTTCAGGTGATGATAATTTTCGTGTGTCATCGTAAACAGAACCGAAAATAGACCTACATTTCAGTTTTGGTATATTTATGCACGTGAACTTTACTGCAGTATATTATAAGGAAATGTCTAGCAAACTTTCTTGTCTATAATTAGCTACATGAAATTTAGATGCATGTATTACAGACTAAGCCTAAAATATGGAATATTATCTCTCTTCTAAAGTATGAAATATATGTTATTTCTCTTGTGTGGCACCTCCAAATAGCTTGTATATTAGGAGAGTAAATATATGGCATTAACAAAATAATGATATAAATCCATATTATGTAGGCCTTATGTTAAAATCAAGTTAATTTTGCTCATTTCGTTTTTCTTTCGTTTTTTGTCTTCACTTTAAGATTACGACAAAGGTACTTTAATATATTTTAATTCCAAAGTTACATTGAGACAAATACAAAACATGCAAATATCCCATTCACTATGAAGGTATGATAAAAAGAACATCTTATTTCATTTCAATTCAATTTGTTTTGGTTGATATTTTGGTGAAACATCCTTGTACAAACGGTCGGAAGACTGGTAAACTTACCATGTGCTTTTCTGGTGTCTTAATGTCGTCCGAAGCAAGCAAGAAGTGCTACAAATCACAGCTACAAACAAACACTGTTCAATTGAAAGCCCTCGCACAATCATCACTCAAATCACTTACCTAGTATAGGCCTATGCCTATTTATGTATGCCTATCTACCGCTCCCATTTCAGTATTTTAAATGTATATGTGTCCATTATGCATAACGGATGGTACAAAATTTCATGTCAATTACAACATGAAAATTCTGCTGGTGGTACGCTCGCTAAATTAACTTAATTAATGAATCGTAAACGTTTCAAGGTGTGCTTTGATGTCGATAAAAAAAGGCCTTGTATGTACGTACTCACATGGTTGGACTCTGGTATATATCTAACTCCGTGTTCAGTCGGTTTCCAAACAGCTACAAACTACGGAACTCCCATATTGTTTTCATCATGTTCCTGTTGAGGGGGATTAATGCTTAAATCATTAAATGGCACACAAAACAGAGCTATCTTGCGTACCAGCAATAATTCGAACGCATAATTGTAAAGTATCCTTTTACTCTTAAATTCTCTCTTTCGCAGGAAAATTTATATTGCTAATAAGAAACAGGGGCGTAGATATCGTTCAGGGAGGGGGGGGGGGGTAAATGAATAGACCACCCCCTGAACAATAGGTTAGGATCTACGCCACTGGTAAGAAGGATATGAAAACTCCAAGAAATGTAATTATATGCCTTTGCATGGTGCGTTTCGCCAAGGCCCTCTATGGGTGGGGAGCATTCTGTACAGCTATGGAAATTATATTGGACCAAGAAAAATTATATTTCTATAATAAGAAACAGGGGCGTAGATATCGTTCAGGGAGGGGGTGGTAAATGAATAGACCACCCCCTGAACAATAGGTTAGGATCTACGCCACTCGTAAGAAGGATATGAAAACTCCAAGAAATAGCGAGCCTAGGTACAATTGGGGTTAATAAATTATTTATTCAAGGACTCAAATTGCAAAAAATGTAAGTCCGTATGACTCGTATTAAATCGAACTAATTCTTATTCTTAGTTGAACTACAAAGAAAATATAAGATAATTCTATAATAAAGAAGTTAAAAAAGGAATAGAAATGTTATAATGATCATTTTTAGAAATTATGTTTGCCTTGTATATAATTCATATGTTGTATTTCACTTGTTTTGTAAATAGTATAAATTCCCTCTGAAGAGGTAAAGAGAAAGAAGAAAAAATCGAACTAAGAACATTTTCAGGAGGCACACAAGACCGGTATCGGCAACATCATTATCCTCATCATTTTTGTTATTATTATCATTCTTCTTTTCTTCTTCTTCTTTTCTTCTTCTTCTTTTTCCTCTTCTTTTTCTCCTTCTTCGTAATATTAATGTTGATGTTGTTATTATTATTTTGTATTAATACTATTTTTATTGTTGTTGTTATTATTACTATTATTGCTACTAGAACTATTGTTCTTTGTATTATAATCATTATTATAACTATAATCATAATTATCATTATTATAACTATAATCATAATTATCATTATTATAACTATAATCATAATTATTATTATTATAAATATTATTGATATTATTGATAGCATTATGATTAATATTGTTGGTATTATTAGTGGTAGTATGGTTATCATTATTGTTATTATTAATATCATGGTTATTCATTTAGTAGTAGTAGTAGTACATTTAGTAATATTAAGAATCATTATTATTATTATTACTATCCCTGATCAATGCCCTCAGCTCAGAATGTTCATGCTCATCTTTAACAATATTTGTGTTCACCGTATCTCTGTCACTATTTGCATGAGTTACACAATTTAGAGTTGGTATACCCTGTATTGATTGGTACAAATGTTCAAGGATTTCGCATGTGTATTGAATTTCAGACTGTTTGATTGGGGCAGAGATGCTGGATATCTTAGGCCCTATAAGGAAAACCTCCGAAACGGGGAGGACATTATCTTCAAAATAATAGTCTGGAAGACGACTATAACTTGGTTGAAGCTCCTATTCCATCTGCTTCTTGTTGTCACTTCTGATCCTGTTATATATACTCTGTTCTATATATAGAGTCTTTAACTGATTGAATTTTGAATGAAACAAACGTAGGTTCTGTGATAATGATGTTGACTGAAGAAGTTTGGTGGTGTTGGGACTTTGAACAGGCGGTGTGTATACATGCCTATATATTCCTTCACATGATCAAGATCTACATTTTAATTCCATCGTACGATGTTGATTATATGTGATAAAAAGGTTCAAACATTGACGATGTTTCGAACTTTGTTATGACTTTTTTAATGGAATGTCTTAACGAGTGACACATATATTTATACACACAGTATCAGGGGTGCCACTATACCGTATATCAGGAAGGTTGGGTGTGTGAACAATTATAAATGTGAGTGTGACCCCCTCCCCCTCCACCCCCCAATTACGACACACATGATAAATGTGTTTTCGGCGTAATGTCTGTAACTGCTATGAAAAATTGACGTTTATTATACCCTTGTCATTAATTTCAAATCTGAGAACGTTTTACCCTTTTTTTTGTTGGGGGGGGGGGGGGGGGTGGTATACGTTGTCGGCAAAAGTTGAAATCAAAGTATCTTCACTTTTTATTTCTCTTCTTATAATTTTTCTCTGAATATCTGCAGATTTGCTTTCACTAGACCCAAAATTTATCCATCAACCCTTTTCCAAAATGTTTAGGCCACGCCCTTGCAGAGTATTGAAGCTTTCCTTTCGCGAGGGGCCCAGGGGAGGGGGGGGGGACAGGATATGTTCTTAATTGAGAAGGGGCGTTGCCACTAGTGTGTGTGACTTTACCCCGTAAAATAAACATTTGCAATACAAAGCATGTCTTTTTTTTCTTTTTTTTACAGATTTTTAAAAAAAAATTGTCATTCGGGTATCCCAAACATCATGGTCATTGATTTCATTCATTGATTCAGAATTCATTAACCCAAGAAGTTCAAGGCTAAAACAAAAACAGCGAGTTGTTAAACAAAAGACTGAAAAGTACCAGATTAAAAAAAAAAAATAACGCTTTTAGAAATTGAAATTAGTTTTGTTGGAAATGCACTCGCTTTCAGACGGTAAGATCTAGGGGCATAATGTATCTGTGCATTGCTGGGTGGTGTAGAATTGATTATTTGTCCTTCTTCTCCAGCCTGGGAAGGGGGGCATCACCCTTTGCTGGATGCATCAGTAATTCATCCAATATTCACCCACATGAGAGTTTAACCCTTTCAGTGCTAAATTCAATCTAAGTCGGAACACCAAAGTGCATTACACTCATACGAGCTGATGATGCTAGCTGGCTTCTAAAGTGACCTTCGACCTTGAGCTGTGACTTACGGGAGATGAGCAAACAATCGGGTGATTATATCAATCGTTCGCATCAATTAGTGCAACGAATGAATTTATTGTATTCCATTCATTTAGATGCACTGCATTATTCCGGCTACAACATTTAGAGACATTGGAGTTTTATCATTTCTTGCTGACAGCATTTTTAAGAGTCGTTGTTTCTTTGTCTTCATCTCGTTAAATCAGTAAGCTGAGGACCCAACTACAACTATAACGTTCTGCTTCTGATCATCGCCTCGTCTTGAAAAAAGAAAATGGAGACATAAAACGTTTCATAGCATTTTTGCTTCTTGATTTTCTTCCATCTCACTTTTTGGTTCACTTCTCGGTTTGAACCAAGTATCTCTCGTAGAGTCATTACAATAATTTTGGACGTAGAATTGCATTACGAAAACTAGCGACTGTCTCGTTCTTCTTCTACTTAGAGCAGTTTTAAGGTGAGTTACCAAGTGACTAGCTCAAATTTCTTGTATTTCAAACCCTAACTGGATTTTCATTTTTAATACTTTTTACTCAATGTGTTATAATTTCATTTGTTCCCGGTGTGATTCAACATTACATCGGTGTTGCGCTCTATCCAAAGGACAACTACCGGGGCTATCATCCGGTTAAATACAGAGGGGTAATTATTATATAGTATATAGAGTATTAGGTTAGTACTGTTGTCCTGGGGTTGTTGTTGTCCTAAACTGCAGATTCGTTACACAACTTTACTCTGCAAAATTGTTGTGTTATATTGGTTTTTTTTTACACAACTTAACAAAACCCCTGTGTTAGGAGTGAACCATCCGATTTTGTGTAAAGTCGTTACACAACGTTACACAACGAATTTGCAGTGTAGAAATAACCAAATTGCATTTTATTTATCTAATTACTTGTATATATTCAGATGTATCAACGACCTGCATCGAGATTCATAACCAATCAATCAACCAATCAACAATCAAGCAAGCAATCAATACCATTGTTGGTACGAAACGACAGCAAATTTGATGTGATTTTAAAAAAGCAGGAAAAAATATATAGTCTGCTTAGCAGTATGAATATGTTAGCAATTATGTTTAAGGGCGTAAATTAAATGAATTGTGCAAAGTGTAGCAAAATTCGGGACTGCGCATGGATGGATACGTGGACGTTATTCATGAAATTAACCTCTCATTACGCAAATGCTTTAAAGATGATGTAGGACGATGTCGATTTATTTCGTTCTCTGTCTCTTTCTCTGTCTATATATCTGTCTATATATCTGTCTGTCTGTCTTTCTGTCTCTGTATCTGTTACTCTCTCTCTGTCTCTGTCTGTCTCTGTCTCTCTCTCTTGGTTTTTTTTTTTTTTTACTTTCTTTCCTTTTTTAGTTTAACTTTGTTTTCAGTATTATAAAATGCCCATTGATTGATATTATATTCATGTTACTACAACAATAACAATGCATTAAATAATGCATTAGGCCTACAATATGGACCAATTCTTTCAAATCAGAATTATACAATCTGCTGTGGTAGCATTAAGCTTATAACACCGAACTGATAAATTCAAGATAGCTCTATCACACTAAATCCATTCGGTATCAAATAGTGGTTCCCTTTTAAGCAAACAGACAGGTTACTAATTAAAGCGAATGAGCGTCATTAGCATTGAATCGGTCCAGAGGTGGAGCCAGACATGAAGAGGGGGGGGGACCCCTTTATGCTTTGGTCGACGGGCATTACATGCACTAATAATGTTTTTGGGGCATCGGCTCCCTGTATATTTTTGCTATCACCTCCCGTTAGCATAGATGTATGCATTTGGACTTGGTCGAGGCGAACGCCCCTCAAGGGAGGCAGGTTCTAACACGGGGGGGGGGGGGGCACAACCAAGGAAGCTTAATGACTGAGTGGGGAAGGGTTTGTGAGGAAACATAATTACATTTGTTCTTAAAACCTTTGGGGATGATCTCCCCCTAAATCACAATCAAGGGTGAGATGTGTCCCCCGCCCCCCCCCCCCCCGTGATCGCCGTCCTTGCCCCCCCCCCACCCCCACTCGAGTTCAAAACCCTAGACACGCCACTACTCTCTGTCAGAATTAGGGATACATTGTTTTATCTCGCAGGGATCCTGAATGAGGTTGTATCATTGTTTGTCACTGATACTGTTACTATTACACCCGGGTTTACTTAATAAATGAAAACAAGGAAACGCCCTTTTAAGCATTGATATAATTCTACTAATTCTTTTTAATCTTACGTCATTATATTTACTTTGTATTGTTTATATTATTTCTCGTTCATTTTCATATACATGTCTCTGTCTTTTTTTTAATTAAAAAAAAAATTATTCTTCTATTTTCCTTCAAGTCGCTTTCTATTTTGAAATCATTCTGATTTATGCCATTATATTCTTACTGACTTTCTGCAGAACCAATCCGTTTTCTTTGCATACTGCAAAAAAAAAACAATACCATAGAATTATTGATAACTTTCAATCAGTTCCAGTGTTAGAATTATGTCCAGTCATCGTCTTGGTCGAAAAAACAAATCAATTTTGATATGATCGTAAACAGATAACTTACTTTAAAGCTTACTTCACCTTTGAGCTGTGTGTTTAATTTGTGATTAATTTTCTCAAGTTGAAATCTTGTCATTACGCCGGGCATGACCTTTAAACCGCAATATCTGAATTTAATGCCAAACCCTTATTGTTATTCTCGGATCTTTTGTAGTGAAACATTTTTCTTGTGTGTTGTTAAGTAATTATTTTACTCCCAATTTCTTTTTGGAAGAGAGCATGGATTACTCTGATTTTGTTTATAATAGCTCAACTGGTGTTTTTTTTGAAGTGTTATTATACTACATGTACACTGTGGAGCAAATTATTCCAAAGAGCTTTGTAACTACAAGGAAAATGCGCTATACCAAATAATCTACGGGTGGGATTGAATTAGAAAATACATAATACCAACCCTCGATTTAAATGAAGGAAAGCAATATAATATGCGTAATGGCAGTGGTCTGGAACTCCTTTAAATTTCTCATCTCATTTTTCCTATGATCTTCGGATTAGTTTATGAAATTTCAAATTTCTTAAAACTGTAAGGGATGCTTTTCTTGCATTCTATGCCATTCGGTAATTAATTAAAGTCCTTTCAACATCATCGCAACTACTGTCGAAAACATTAAGTCAAAGGCAATTTCAATACACTATTTGATGTCCCATAGTTATCATGTTCTGTTTACGTAATACATGATTGTAATGCCTACTCGTTTTAAGAGGCGACGTATAAGGCCATAGAAATTGCCATAAGTTGATTTCTCGAAAGTTGTTGCGATTGTGTTTCCCTGCCATTTACTATATCTGCATCATCATGTATCCTGTGCTCGACAGAGGTACATGTATAAGAAGAGTCAATCTAGCAACAACTAATTTTGACTAATACAAAAGAGAATATCCATTAAGTGCATTTAAATGAAAGAACTCATCATTCGGTTATCAGAGAATCAGAGAATCAATAGTTCGATTTACAAAATTATTATATATGCAATAGTACTTATCATTTTACATAGCCATTGTTGAATTACACTTGTCGGTCACCAAAATGACTTGGCTCTTTTCAAATCGGGCCATAATTTGTTTTCAAATAGATCAGTTGTGATGAGGTCAATAGATAGGAAAATTAATCAGGTCTTCAAACTTCTTGAAAACAAAACAATCATCACAAAAAAATAATCTTGTAAAGGCCCTGAAGATTGGCATTACAAATTTTGATTTCTTATCTTATTTGTATATAGGGCACAATAAAACACACATTATCAGAGATCAAACCATTTAAAACCACTTTAATTTTGTATCCCCTATCAATTAAAGGTACACGTATTAGTAATTACCAAACAAAATAAGAAGAACGATAGATCCGACAATATTTTGCTCCCTAGCTCCGGGCTGTATTTCATCACAAATAAAGGGTAATGGTTAGGGTTATGGTCATTGTTTTGGCCCATGTTTCAGGACAGTGTTATTTCTAGTGTTGGTTCCTGGGTTCAAGTTAGGAACTCAACTAGTGCTCATGATGGCGGTCTCCTGCGTTTTTTGTAATTATCTTTTTTCATTGAAAAAAATATTTGTGTTTGTATGCATCTTATTTAATGTACTGAAAACTTTATAACTCTGTATAATGAAGAAATAATTGTTAATTTATGTAAATGATTATGTATTATTTTGAAAACCCAGAGCAACAGTCTCCGGAGGATGTGTGGTTAACTTAAAATGATGTTTTTTTGTTTCGGTTTTCAAATCAGTGTTCGATCCGGCGTTACCCTGAGTTCATTTCAACATGGAATCCAGGGGTACACAGGCCGACGACCAGGAAAACGTATATATGAACACAGCCCACAAGGACGTCGACCTGGACGATGAGACGAACGCACCCGACCAGGAAAACACATACGTCAACACGGCCTACGATAACGTCGATCTCGACGAGGACAAGGCCGGTGATGTCGAGGATCACGGGAAAACGAACGGTATAAATAATGAAATGGTAGACGATGTGGAAGACGATGATTACGATAATCCAAAGTGCGGATGGTTCGGCATCAGACCGGGATTCATACAGGTAATCATTCTCATGATGACAATTCGGACCCGGTTGCATCAAACTTAGTATTGGTGGTAACTTTGCCATCGACGATAACTTCCCTGGAACCTTGCTTTCATTGGATGTTCAGTGATGTTGCCATGGTAGTTAATATTGATGGCAAAGTTACCATCAGTGGTAAGTTCCTGCAACGGGGCTCCGGTATATTTAATTCTTGGTGCGATATGTTGGTTCTTGACTCAGAGTTTATGGACCACCATTGGGTGTATGCCTTTACTGTATACATCGGGTAAAACTAAACAGAGAACAAGATTAAACAGAATACAGAAACAGTTGGAAGACGTATAGAGTGGGTTGGTACAAAAAAGAAAGATGGTTAGCTTAATGTAAACAGGACTTTCATGGCCACGGCAATTGGCTATCTGTATACCATGCATCTTAACTCGTTTAGAAAATAAAATGAAATCATTACGTAAAATGGCCATCATGATAATTGATCATATCATCACCACGAATCTATCACGGACATCTAGATGCTATAATAAATCCTCTCCACTTGTTCCTCTTTCTCTCTCTTTCTCTCTCTCCATCTCTCTCTCTCTCTCTCTCTCTCTCTCTCTCTCTTTCTCTCTTTATCTCTCTCCATCTCTCCCTATCTCTCTCTCTCCACCCCTCCCCTCTCTCTCTCTCTCTCCATCTCTCTCTCTTTCTCTCTCACAGTGCTTCAATAATTCCAAGGGCTACCTCCTCTTCCTCTGTCTCTTCGTCATCGCACAAAGCATGACCGTCAACGGGATCATCTACGTGATCACCACCACGCTCGAACGTCGCTTCAGCCTGACCAGCGCCCGCAGCGGCTTCATCTCCAGCTGCTACGACTTCTCCGTCATGATCGTCATCGTCTTCGTCACCTACCTCGGCGAGAAGAGCCACAAGCCCAGGTGGCTGGGCGTGGGGGCGTTTGTCTTTGCGATGGGGTCCCTGCTCTTTACGCTGCCTCACTTCGCCACGGACTACTACGAACCCAGGGATGTAAGTAGGGGTATTGTTGGATGAGCCGGGGTTGCAATAATAATAATACCGCTCATTCAAAACTGAAGAATTTGGCTATAGGATAGTTTTAGTAATTAATAACAATAGACATGATGTAGCTCTTGAAATCTTCTTCATAGTATTTCCCCTAACCAATTTTCTAATTCTTCAAATTGTATTCAAATAAACCATGTCGTGCGGGGCTTCTTCTTTCAAGGAGAACTAGTCTCTAGTGGACAAGCTGAACAAATATGAGTACCTCCCCCCCCCCCTTATCCTCAAATTATTTACTTTCTGGAACATTTCGTCAAACAAGTTGGCAACACCCCTATACGACATTTATGTTCAAGCGACGCTCTAGTATTCAGTATTCTGGAAAATGTTTTTTCGTCAGGAAGAAGAAGAAAGTAAATATTTACGTATATGTATCCCTCTCCCCCCCTCTCTCTCTCTCTCTCTCTCTCTCTCTTGCTCTCACTATCTCTATATATATTTTCCCTTTTCCTCCCTCTCTCTCTCTCTCCCTGTCTCTCCCTCTCCCCTTCCCATCCCTCCTCTTCCTACCCCTCTCCTCCATATCCCTTTCCTCTCCCCTAACCATCCCTCTTCTTTCCCTCCCAATCTCCTCCTCTCCCTCCCCTCCCTCATCCCCTCTCTCTGTCTCTGTCTCTCTTCCCCTCTCTCTCCCGCCATCTCTATTTCATGCAGGCGTCAGATATCTCGACCTGCGCCATCAACGGTACCGACAACGGAGGCTGCGCGCCAGGCGAGACCGGTCTGAGCAAATACTACGCGGTGTTCATAGCAGCGCAGGTTCTTCACGGGCTTGGTGCCTCACCTATCTACACACTGGGTCTTACATATATAGATGATAACGTCAAACCTACGTTAGTCGCCATTTACATAGGTAAATATCCATCCCCTTCACCCCCACTTTCAGTTTAGTCTATAGTAAGGATGATCACAGATTATACGGTCGAACAATAAAATGATGACCCCCTCCTCCCCCCTCCCACACCCTTTCCCGTCCCTTTCTTTATTTTCACTTAATTTTGCCTGGTTTATTTATATTTAAGATTGCGCACATAAAAACAGATAATTTGACAGGAAAATGACATTTATTCGTTAATGTATGGATAAAAAGAATCTATGGTAAATATTATTAGAAAATACTACAAGGTAGCGATTCTTTTTAGACAAGTAAATTAAACATTTACTTTCCGATTTGTTCACAACTTAACCTTTGCCAAAGTGTTCTTCTTCCCCCTTCTATATGTTAACCACCAAGCAGATGATAGATTGTGATGTTTTCACAAATCTGATCCTAATTATTGAAGTAAAAGAGAACTACACGCCAGGCAAAAGTTTCTTATTCAACTGGAGTCGAGACATTAACTGCGACCTTTTAGAACACATTTTTAGTGCATGCTCATCTCCTTTTTGCAATCAGGTGATTCACACTTTAACCCTATTATATATTTTTGACAGGTATATTCCAGGCTATGTCGACATTAGGACCGGCTATTGGCTACATTCTCGGTGGACTCTTTCTAACCTTCTATGTAGACGTCAATGTAGATCCAGACGAGTGAGTTTAACCTCTTCTTAATATCCTCCATACATAGATGTACGACAGGGAGGGGCGGTACTGCAGACCCCCGTGAATTAAGAAATTACCAATATTTGGGGAACCCTCATCTCACATTCGGGTAGTGATTGTGGTCTAGTGGTATATTTCATTTCTTATGTAGTGTATTTCAATGACGAAATCACTCAAAATAAAGTGTCAAAAATTTGCCAGATTTCTTTGCTCCAAATATCCGAGGAAACGAAAGGTTGACGTTCCAGCAATAAAAATCGTCACCTTATGCGAAATTTGCTGCATGGTATCCAAATTCAATGCTATGATGAATTCATCAATGATTAAGGAATGCCAAAGTGGTGGATAAAATATATTTTCCGCGCTTTCTTTGGTTACTCCATTAATGTATCTTGACCAGGGTACACCCCTTCCCAAATTGCAGGCCCCCACAATACTTAATTGCAATTGGGGGGATATATTTATAATTATATCCTGCATCAAAAATGTATTTTTTTTTTAAATTAATTTTTGATGCAGGATATAAAACAAATTTATACTCTGCCTACTTTTCGAGGTACGGGTTTAAAACTATTGGCCTCGGTGACCCCAAAAGTACCATTTGCTTCGGGGCTGTGCCCCTCAGGAAATAGTATTATATCCTGCATCAAAAAGTTGTTGGCTTTTAATTGGTTGAGAGCTCGTCCCACGACCAGAACTATTTTTAGAAAGTACTATATGAGAGTACTATTTGGGAGTACTATTTGGGAGTTGAAAAAAAATGTGAATTTTTTATTTTTTTAATTGAATTTTTTTTTTCTTCAAATCTTAATTTAATAAAAAAATTAAAAAAATAAATCTTTTTAGACAAAAATTGACATTTTTTTTTTCTAATTTTTTTTCTTCCAAAAAAGTTTTTTAAAATATTTTTTTAACTATTTTTTTTATAAAATAAATTTTTGATGCAGGATATAAAAAATATACCATGCCTTCTATTCGAGCTACTGGTTAAAACTATGGGCCTCGGTGACTTCGCTGCGCCCCTCAGTAAATAGTACTATTGGAGTCACCTCTTGCGCATATTACTATTACTATCATTACTGATAATAGTGTGGGTGTATGTGTATATTTTTCTTGATAGCTTTGGATTGACGCCTGAGAGTCCTCTCTGGATTGGTGGTTGGTGGATGGGTTTCTTCATCGATGCAGCTCTCGCCTTTTTTGTCATCATACCTCTGATAGGATTCCCTAGAGCTTTACCAGGTTAATATATACCATACTTCAGAATGGTGTGAAGGGTGAATGATGGGGGTGGGGTGGGGATTGTACTGGGGGCTCTTTGTGGATGCAGCAATTGCTTTTCCTGTCATTATACCTGGGATTTCCTATAAATCTTTTTCAGGTTCATGTCAGAGAGAGAGAGAGAGAGAGAGAGAGAGAGTAGGGGGTTAAGTTTATGGGGATATACATGTAGGGGATGGGGGCTGTTTGCCGATGCAGAAATTGCCTTTCTTGTCATCATGCCTCAATATACTAAAATTCTGTAAAGCTTTCACGGGTTATTACGGGCCGTAGTTCAACGTAGTATATAAAAAATGGAAGGGTTGTTTTTGAAGGGGGGTCTTTGTGAGGGGTGTCTTTCTTGATGCAGGCTATTTATTACCTTACTAGAATTTCCCTTGAATATAAGACGATAATGTTTGTCGGAATGATAGGCGACCGCGATTGGTTGAATTATAATAAATTGAAATGCATAACGAAATGCGAATGACTTGAAAAACTGGAAAACCCGACGTCATCACCATGAAAACAATTCTTCAATCGTTAAATGCTATAATGTTTTACATGGTAAATGTTGAATTTCCATAACTACGGATGTCGATCTGCCTCTATGGTGACGAAATCCTATCTTTACAATTGTCTCGCATTAGTCGACGTGTCGTAATTGAATAATGCTGAAGACATCGTTGACGTCTTACTTGTATTCTTCTGTATGATGATATTGTATCTTTAACAAAAAAGGAAGATGACGACATGATCTGTGACGATAGTTTTTCGTTGTTTGCAACCTATGCCCATTATGTATCAGTGTATTCTACTCTCTCGACCACGGTGTTAGTGGGTACCTGGAAATACTGGGGTATTAATAATTGCAGAGCCATTGGAAAAGAGCATTATCAATACTGATGAGACTACCGTCGGCAATATAAGATATTATTTTTATCATCTTTTGTTACAGTAAAATAAATGGTAATCTCTATTTATTTATTCCTCGCCTGCAGGTTCCATCGCACTGAACGCGGCCCGCAAAGAGGAGGCTCAGAAGGGCTCCACCTTCAATGCTCGGGCAGGGTTCGGCAACAAGATCAAGGACTTCCCCAAGGCTGCCGTAAACCTCCTCAAGAACCTCCCATTCATGTGTCTGAACGGTGCTTCCTGCACGGAATGGTTTATCCTGGCCAGTATCGCCGTCTTTGGACCCAAGTATCTCGAGTCTCAGTTCAACTTCACATCGGGCACGGCTGCCCTGGTTGCCGGTGAGTTTTGCAGCTGTTGGGTTTGTTGGCGCCACCCATCGATTTCGATGATTTCCGCCAGGCTTGGTGAGAGGGGGCGTCTTGCTCTCTCTCTTCTGCAGCTCTACTTACGTTTCTGTGATTCTGATACTTGCCCAGCGTGTGAGACAAAGACTTTCCTTGACCATGCACCTACTAAGAGTAGGTCATGCATGCCTTGACCTTTGTTATTGGCGTGGTGCAAGGTTATGGAGGATTAATCTCCGTGCTCGTTACTGTTTAACCGGGTGACGAACTATTTTATTGGAATAAAATGACCCCGGAATGCCGGTGGATGGGTGCGATTGCAGTAGGTATGGATATAACAAATGATGGATTTTCAAGACCGCCTCGTCATGAACTATTCGGTTGATACCTCTGGTCGCCAATGATTTTACTATATAATTGGTAGGAAAAAAAAAAACATGTCATTGATTTTTTTTGTTCTTCAGTAAAGCCTGGTGACGAATTATTCTCATTAGCCTAATGTGAATAAAAGCTTATATTATGATGAATCCATCATACAAAAACAAGTCGGAAAATTAAGGGGAAAAATGTTTAAGTATTCTTTATGTTTTCTTCATCTATCCATAAGGATGGAATCGACATAAAAAACATTATTGTTGCTATATCAGCAAAATATAAGATAAACTAAGATACACAATGCCTTCTACAACTTGATATACAAATACTGTATGTATCTCTAATGATGGATTCCAACTTGAAACATTAGTGCTGCTATGTCAGGAAAGCAAAAGTTAAGAGAAAAGGCTCTTCACTAAGTCTTCTCCAACCAGGTATACATTTAGGTGTCACTATCTGGACTTATTGACATACTAGTGTTGCTATGTCAGGAAAGCTTTTGGTATAGTTAGGAATTCTCTCCTACAACCAGGTATCTTAAGGGGAATAGCATCCACCTTTCAAATACTTCATGTTGCTAAATCGGAATAAACCCTTAGACAACGTTTTATACTCTTTCTCCAAACCATGCAGGCGTAATGGTCATCCCATCCAGTCTCATCGGCTGCATCGTCGGTGGGCTCATCGTGCGGTACTTCAAGCTCGAGTTCAAAGGCATGATCAAGTTCTGTATCGGGGTCCTCACCATATCTCTCGCTGCTCTCTTCGTCTTCATCATCTCCTGTCCCAACGTCGACTTCGCTGGCGTGACCGTCGAATACGATAACAAGTACGAATTCGAGATTTCGCGTGACACAATTTGAATATGTTGGTTTGATTCTCTGCAATTAAAAAAAACTAGCAAACAAAAAACAACAATTACAAATCAATGTAAGGGGTGCGATGGTTCACGCGTAGAACAGAACAGTGGTTCGAAACCCATTGGTTAAAGACACTATAAATCACGATAACCCTAGATTATCAAATTCAAGTGATTGTATTTAAACTTGCAGTCGCGTATCTTGTATACCCCCCCCCCCTCTCTCCCCTCTCTCCCTCTCTCTCTCTCTCTCTCTCTCTCATTTTATGATTTTTGGATGGTCATACATGGATATAAATGCGATACAATAAACATTCCATGCAGCACAAAAATAAACTGAAAGGTTACTTAGTTACTGAGCGTTAATCAAATATCTTAAATCAGGGCCCCGTAATACAAAGGTTTGCTATCTATTGCAAATTTGAAATAACGATTTTGATTGGTTAATAGTCAGCCCTTTTAACAATATAAAATCATGTTCAATCAACGATAATCTTGATTGGCCATTGTCCTTTTTTCAATTGATTGCAACTCTTTCTGTTCCGGGGCTCTGTTCGTTAAAGAGAAGGTTGAGTTTTGGGAAGAGGTGAAACAAAATTTGTGAGCGTTATCATTGTTATTATGCAAGTGTGGAAGAATATCAGATAAAACATGTTCCTGAAAAGCATGGATCTTCAAATGCCTTCATATTCTAAATATGGCATGTAACAGCATAACAATCGGGACGGATTTTTATGCCACATGATCGTGTAAAATCCCATTTACATCTTTCTGTGTACAGTGCTTGTAACTTTACCAAGAATGGGCCAAATTTCTTATCATTTTGACGATTCCAGAACCTTGCAGTACACACCAATACTTAAATGCTAGACAATCAACCTTTTCTGATCAATTCCACACCGTTTCTTTCACTATTCAATCGCATGACCAGAACTCAACTTTATCTTTAAATGACTTTTGTTACCAATGTGCAGATCACTGCCTTTCACTGGAGACGAAGGGAACCTGACTGCGCCTTGTAACGCAGACTGTCACTGTTCCAACGATTACGATCCGGTGTGCGGCAGCGACAATGTCCTCTACTATTCACCCTGTCACGCCGGCTGTCTTAACATGTTTGAAGTCGACGATGTCAAGGTATGGGGGGGGGGGGGGGCTAACATTTTTAAATCGGGCCGAAAATTTAGCAACGACTCCGCCAGCCGCTGAATAAGCGGAGGGGGGGGGGGGGGGGGGTAAGAGGACTCTTTTTTTTTTTGGTCTCGAAATTTGAAAATTTGACATTTTGCTCCGTTGGGGTTGGGGGTTAAGGTCACCTTTTTAGGTCAGCCAGTGGCATAGTTTTTTTATTTTTTTTAAATATATTATTATAAAAAAATTATTTAAACAAAAATCGCAAGGGGGGGGGGGGTTCAACCCCCAACCCCCTGCGTACGCGCCTGATGATGCTGATGGTGATAATGACATGTTATGTCAGTATGGGAAACCTCGTATATTGTGGTCCTGAAGGGCCCTGCAGTAACAATTCCCGTTTCTAAAATATTTAGTTAAATTATTGATTAACCATGAGCCCGACATTCAATTGACAATTGTTTCGAATAAGAATAAAAACGTTTTCGGTCAGGTGCGTCGAATCCTTGGACTCGGAGATGAAGAGGGAGGGAGGGGGAGGGGGTTTGATTGAGGCTTCTAGGCAAATTTCCATCCTTAAACTATACTAAAAGTGAGTTCAGTGGAGACCACTGTGTTTGACGACTGATTTTGTATAATTTGTTCTCGGATTATGCATATTAGAATGATGTTTTTTTAGGCTACCAAATCATTTAAACAATGAAGTATCTACATTTGGAAGCACGTATCGTAAAGATTTAATTCATGCAATAATGCAGATTTTAAAAAAAGTAACTCTATTGTTTTGTATAAATCGTCAGCCCATTTTCACGCAACATTGTGTTATTGATTTAAAGCACATTTTAATGAAAACTTAGTTTGCTATCATTTTATGTGTGTTTACGTATTGTTTTAGGAATACTCTGACTGCAGCTGCATAGACGCATCCCAGGATGGTATTACTCGGGCAGTAACGGGAAAGTGTGGCTATGAATGCCCTCAGCAAAACCTCTTCCTCGCCTTGCTCTTCATCATGCTTTTAAGCACGTTTTTCGCCATCGTCCCGTCGATCACAGCCATGCTCAGGTAAGGACGAACTCGACACAGTGGCGGATCCAGGAATTTCTTACAGGGGGGGGGGGGGGGGGCACAAAATAGCATGGGGTGAAATCAGTAGCGTACGCAGGATTTTTTCAAGGGGGGGGGGGGTTAACATCTTTAAATCGGGCCGAAAATTTCGCAACGACTCAGCCGGCCGCTGAATAAGCGGGGAGGGAGGGGGGGGGGGGGGGGGGAATAAGAGCACTTTTTTTTTTTTTTTGCTCCCGAAAATTTGAAAATCGCGCCGGTCGCAAATTCGCTTAGTGGGGAGGACAGGGGGGGGGGGGGGGGGAGGGTAGTAAGCACTATTTTTTTTCGGGGGGGGGGGGGACGGGGGAATATCTTGGAGTTAATTCCTCGAACAGTGTGAAAACAGAAGTGGAAGGTATCTTGGGGATAACATGATACGAAAGATGTGTGGTGTGAAACTGTCCGATAGAAAGCACACAAATTAGTGAGCGCATGGAAAGGTTGGGTCCGGAAGAAACTGTGGTGGAAGTGGTATCAAGAGAAGTGGATTAAGACGGATGGGTCATGACTGTATTGAGTAGGGAATATTATGAATCTGTGAAAAGAGTGTGATATGTGGAAGTGAACGGCATAGGAGAGAAGGAAAGACCGAAGATATCATGGAAAGATTTTGTGAAGTAAGAAAGCCGTATGGTTGGTGTAAATGAGGAGGATGCTCGACACATGAAGAATTGGAGGGAGGGGAAGTGCCATCATGGCGCGAAAAGTAAAAAAACCCATTGTAAGAGGGAAAATGCTGACTTCAGTAAATGATGATGATGCTGATGAATGTATTGAAGCACCATTATGATAGCAAAGGCAATTTAGTAGCCCTGTGCATCGCCCCTAGAAATGTGCAAAGATGAAAATGACATACATATATACATAATCCGAACATCCATGTAATCTCTATAGGCACCACAAGAGGCCAATGAGACTGACCTATAAAGATGATTTCTTAAAAATTCTATGCTATCAAGTTTTGATAGAAATCATATAAAATGAATTTATTATATTCTCGCTCTCTCGTTATCTACAGGTGTGTTGCCAATTCACAGAAGGCCTTTGCTCTAGGATCAATTCACTACTATATCGGGCATTAGGTAAGATATCCATGGTATATTCCTATTTTTACCATATAGAATGCGTAGATTAGAAGTAAATAAAACATAATGGTGCACACTTTATATCGTGCCTCGCTATCTGCAAAATTGTAAATGAAATATTGATGCTGCCATTGATTTGGATGACTTATAATCTACACAATTAGGAAAATGATATTGAGTTTATAAGTAATTTCAAAACAGACATTTGTCAGTATAATCATTATTTACAAGAAATCCCTTTTTGGTATCATGTCGATTTGTTGAAGGCAAATTGGGTAAATGCCCCTCCCCCGCCCCCTCTCTTTATCCGTTAGTACAGTAGCGGATCAAGGATTCCTCCAGAGGTGCAATTATGAAGAAAAAAACATGACTTGGGGGAATTTCTACTTGACGAATTCCAGATTGGTTTAAAAGGGAGGCATGGGCTGGTTGCCTGCCTTAAAGCCACACTGCACTACTTATAGCTACTTGCTCCCTCTATATAACAAACTATGCATAATCGATGAACATTGGTCCCCATGATCCTCTTTTTCTTATGTTAATTGAGAGCTTATTTGATTGGATAACACCTTTCCAGTAACCATACAGGGTAGTCTAATCCCTCCTGTTCACTAGTATTGATGGGTTTTAAACCACCGTTGTCCTTATCCCCTTGTTACTCATCTCTTGACCAAAACAGGCACCGTCCCGGGCCCTGTCATCTTCGGTCTCCTCATCGACAACGCCTGCAGCATCTGGGAAGAGGATTGCGATGGCGCGCGGACCTGCTGGATGTACAACAACGCCATCCTGGCCCAGAACACCCTCATCCTCGTCGTCTGCTTGAAATGCGTCTCCATCCTCTTCTTCATCGGCGCCCTCGTCTTCTACAAACCCGTCTTCGAAGAGGAAGACAAGATCAAGTTGGCGAACGGTGTCGAGGTCACCGAAAAGGGCGAGTTGAATGGCGACGCAACAGGCAATAGTGAGCCAGCTACGTCGAAATTCTGAGAAGAACACCCTGATCCTCGTCGTCTGTTTGAAAACCCTCTCCACCCTCTTCTTCATCGGCGTCCTCGTCTTCTACAAGCTCGTATTCGAAGAGGAAGACCAGATCAAGTTGGCGAACGGTGTCGAGGTCACCGAAAAGGGCGAGTTGAATGGCGACGCAACAGGCAATAGTGAGCCAGCTACGTCGAAATTTTAATTGAGCTGTTATTAAAACGGTGAAAATACCTGTCGGTTTGTTTCGAGTGTGTGTGAAACTGTGAACTATGAAAATGTCCTTTCTTTGAAGAAAATATCGAACGCACTAATTAGATGAAAGGTACTTACATGTGTAATTATTCATGCAAATGTGTAATGTGAATCTAAAATCTATGGTGACCTTTTTATGACGTAGATTAATTTTATTAAGCAAAGGACATTGTCACATTCCAGTAGTAAGGGTAGGGGCTGTGGACACTTTGCAAAAATAAAGCGCTTGACGCTGTATTTTTTCAAGGAAAATACATTTAACAAACCCTAACTGCTATCAGTATTTTTCGTATACGATGTTTTTTCTTCAACATAATTTGGGAAATATTCATCAAACCCTAGATTCAAACCTGTTCAAATGGGATTTTATTTGTCCTCATACACGACCTATCCCATGGGCGGATCCAGGAATTTCTTCCCGGGGGGGGGGGGGGGCACACGGGGAGTAAGAGGACATATATATTTTGTTGTGCTCCCGAATATTTGAAAATCGCGCCGGCCCCAAATTTGCTCATTGGGGGGGGGGGGGGGGAGTGCACATTATTATTATTATTATTATTGTTATTTTGTTTTGGCCGGGGGGACACGTGCCCCCTGTACCCCCCTCCTGGATCCGCCACTGTATCCGGTCGGACACACAGCGTGTAGGATTTTTATTGTTGCGTAAGTTTATGTAGTGTGTAAATTTTGAAAGATATTATGATGACCTATTTTAACGTAGGGTATTTGAATAAGAACACGATATGTCACATTTCAACCATATATTAGTAACGTTCGATTGAATTAAAATAGGCCTACGTTTATTGTTGTAAGATCTGTCTCTATAACGAAAGAACAGAAGGTTATTCTAAAAATAGCGTAGATTGTCAATCTCTGGTTGATGACCTAAATGTTTTATTAAGGGGCAGTTTGTACATTTTGTATATAAGATAAATTTTATATTACTCACGCAGCTTACAAATAAAATTGATTATTGTTAATATTAGATAAAAAGGAACGTTCCCTATAAATTGGCAATAATATAGATGTATTGACATAGACATGTTAAAACACTGCCTTAACTAGTGAACTGGATGTCAGTGTTGAATTTAAAGTTACATTGAAAATAAATGATGTGAGAAACTAAACGTTGTTTTGTCTGTTCCTCTATTATTCTATGAAATTTGAAAGATATTCACACAGAACATTTTCCTGGAATACAGAGTCTTTATTAATTACAAATCCAATCAAAAAGATCAGCATTCATCAGATTTAAAAAATGTAATAAAGTATAGCAATCTGGCAACAAAGCTTAAAAGTTCGAACTTTGCCGAAAAAAAATAGGAGGGGATATCAACCCCCTCTCTTTACTAACGCCCCTGACTGAATGATTTTATCGACAGTAGAGCACAATGTAGTGCGCCGTCAAACATGGTTACGAAATATTGACCCTAACCCGACAAAAAGAAAAGAAAAGAGAAAATGCTTTAAAAGTCCTAATACGCCGACACGTTCTCGTCGTGTAAATTTAAAAGTCCCTATTGATATCTAGTCCCGGTCCCGTACCATAAAAAGTTTATTATTTGTATCTTCCCCAATATTAATATAAATCATATCTCTTTCGAATTGACTGCGCATATGCTTCCAATATGTTCAATTGAACCAAATTCATGACCCATACCAAAACTTTGTATTACCTTTAAGGATTACTTTTTATGTAACGAATAAATAAAATGCATCTTAAAGCCCCTCTTAAGTGTTGAGAGCCCCCAAGATTGATGGCGAAATTTCACTTAAATTGTATCATAATGTGAAAGAGGATGTCATTTAAGACACATATCTGCAAGGATTTTCAAAACAAATCTGTTTTAAGTCGTATAATGATGAAATAATACACAATTTAAGTTTTCTGCATACAACAAAATACCCAAATTATGTTTCTTTTATCAATAATTGTCTTCAGTCACATATTGGGGGGGGGGGGGATCTTGGCAGAATTGTGTCTTAAATGACATTCTCTTTCACATTATGATACAATTTAAGACATTTTTGCCATCAAATGTGGGGCTCCCAACACTTTAGAGAGGCTTTAGAAGCAGGTACTTGCAGCGGGATTGGAGGTAGATTTTTACGATTATAAGTCGGTTTTTATGTTACGCTATCTAGATCAATAACCTTCCTAGAATCCTAAATATCAATCGGGCTACCCAATGTTGCAGCCGTTGCACACGATCTAATTGAGTCAAGGGCACTGGCATACTGATGGGGGGGGGGGGGGGGGGTAGGGGGCAGTTGCCCCAAAGTAAAATTATAAAGTGGTTCATTTATAATTCGATACTTGTGATTTACAAATGTTGTTAAAACGACGTGATTTTCCGGGGTCTTTTTCTCATTTTTTTGTAAATTATACTTTTGTATGATGCTTGTTTTCTTCTTCTGCCCCCCCCCCCAAACAGTTGACCTTTTATGATGCAGATTTTCTGCCCACCCTCATAAAGTATTTGTGCATTACGTCACTGGTTGAAGGAATGGTACAGAATGATACCAAATTAAACGGCTTCTATATCCATCTTAAAACAATTATCTTCTAATTGCAATTCCAACGAGATAAAAACAATTACGTAATCATTCTTAAACATCGTATTTGAACCTTTTAAAGTGACTTTAAAAAAATAATGGCCGTTCAGCGGACTTTGGTCAGCCTATGTGGAAAACACATGAACAAAATGTATACACCATCATAATATGAAAAGCCGTGGGAAGAGAAATCGATTCAGTGTTTTAAAATCGGATGTGAACTAGTTATCATTGCATCATGTTATATCTGGGGTGGTATTTGTTCCGGCTGTTATGTCAACTTTTAAAGCATTGTCGTACTTTTTCTTACTTTCATTATATTCCTTTGGATGAAAGGTTTCTAGATTCCAATGTGAACACCCAAAATTTCAATCTTTATTTGGTCTCTGTAATGTTGTTTTCAGAAAGAAAATGAACGATGACGTTGGTGCTGCCTGTGGTGATATAATGAAACGTATATATAGAGATATCGAGGAACGTAAAACCTTTGGGTTCTGGGTCTGAAAAAGAAACGGATTTTTTTCCTCTATTTTTCCTTCTTCTTCTTTTTCTTCTCTCTTCTTCTTCTTCTTCTTCTTCTTCTTCTTCTCTTCTTCTTCTCTTCTTCTTCTTCTTCGTCTTCTTCTTCTTCGTTTTCTTCTTGTTCTTCTTCTTCTTGTTCTTGTTCTTCTCCTCCTTCTTCTCCTCCTCCTTCTCCTTCTTTTTCTTTTCTCCTCCTCCTTCTTCTTCTTCTTCTTCTTCTTCTTCTTCTTCTTCTTCTTCTTCTTCTTCTTCTTCTTCTTCTTCATCTTATCTTATTTTTTCTGTTTTATTTTAGTCAGAATTTTTTGGTAGACTTTGGAATCCCGAGCGGAAAATCTCTTCTATACATATTGTGTCCAGTGTATTTCCCATACAAGTAAGCTTTAATGGGCCTGATATCGATAGATGAACAGTTAACCTATATGGATTTAGTACTACATTATTTTTTTTTTACCTCCTCGTCTATTGATGCATTATACTTAAAAAACTGACCAAAGTGCTTTGTCCTTCCTTTTGCCACCTTTTTATATTTTAGTTCCACGAAACGATTCAGTTATATGCTTACGAAAGACCAACAACTTGAGGGTTATGAGCTCCTACTTGTTTGCTCACGTGAACAGACCACGTTTTATTATTTTCAAATTTAGGAGTATTTTGGTCTGAAATCGCGTAAAATAATCCTTAAATATACATTATGGATATAATAAACTAATATATGGATATAAACCTGCTAGTATTTATGTATTGAGGTAGACCCAACTAATTGTGTAGACTTGTGCAAGTATACGATTTAGACAGAGGAGTTTTTAAAATAAATAAAAGATTTGCAGTTTTGTAACAAGCATAGGAATGAAAACTGACCCCTTAAAACATGGCAAATAAACTTTGATGTGGTATCTCCTTGATACAACTAATGTTTGGTCTTAACCAACACAGCGAGGACATTCATTCAAGTCGCACCGAAGCCGCTTTCACACAGCGCTGTGTTGGGCTCGTGTCGGGTCCAAACTACTTCGGTGCTATTCTGCATGATTGTTCTAAATACGAGTTCGGCCGAGCCACCCCGAGTTGCGCCGAACCAACTCGAGTACCAACTCAGCAACCAAGTGGTCAAAAGTAGTTCTCATCTAGTCATCTTGGTTCTGCCATGTAATTCCCATTTTAATAATCGCGCTCAGACGGACCTTACGTGAAATCAACAAAAATACAATTACATTTCAATTCTGATTGACTTGCGTTAGGTTCAGGCCAATACATAGTAAATTTTGACGGGTACGGGAAAGAACTCTACTTTTCATGACTTGATAGAAAATGACAACAAACTCTTCTCTACTAAACCGGTTTAAACTGCATGTTATGTTAAGTCCTTTCAGCGCCGGGGCGGGGGTGGGGGGGGGGGGGTGACCCCTGCCCCGCCCCTCAAATAAAAATGATGATAATAATGATAATTTTGACTAACGCATGTATGAAAAATGTGGAAGAGAGTTTCGTTTTGATACAAAATAAATAATTTAATTTTTTCTTTTTAAATTTTGCTTTCGTGATTACTCTTTAGATTACGCCAAACCGCCCGCCAACATTTAACGGTACCTCGGCACAACCACACACCGGAAGAGATTTTTGTGTACACAAACTAAAATATAAAATCAACAAAACACAATTTACATCATACTTTTAAAAGAGACTTTTTATTTGGTAAATATTGACAAATGACAGTCATAAAACAAATAAAACTGGATACCTTTATCGTTGACTAAGTTGTTTCTGTGCGTGCGGGTCGAGGGCCGGGTTAGGGGGGGGGGGGGCGGACTAACCTATTAAACGTACGTTTTGGTACAGATCAAATACAACCTTTAAACGGCCCGAAACAGAAGAGGCAAAAACTCAAGCGAGGTTAACATCAATACAATGGACCCTTAAAGCATGTGGTAGTATTTGCTCAGCTCTCAAAGTTTGGTCAGTAAATGGCCTTCCGTCGACTCCGCTGAATCAGTAGGTTACGCAGACTGGTACGTGACAGGATCTAGGAATTTAAGTTTGTCAACCCCAACTATTATCAAAACGGTAAGTTTGAATTAATTGTCGTACATACGAGAAATACATGACGCTAAGTTGGTATTGACAATGATAGTAATGTGTCATTTCATAACGCCTGATATGGTGTTGATTGTTCTCTCTAATTATGTTCTAAACAGTAATTGACTAGGCTAAGATAAACTTAATGATGTAATGACATGAATGATGATGTTAAACGTTCAGTATGATCAGTTGTTTGAATCTGAGGATGGCTTTAGAATTGAATTATGTTATGTTTGTTATAGATTGGACCAAACTGTCAGTTTAGTAAT